GCCCCCCTCCCATGGACCAGCCTCCCTGCATGGGGAGTGTCCTTACCCGACCAGTCTGGAGGTGCCCAGCCGCGCTGCTGCCACTGTAAGTGAGGGGCGCCTCACAGAGCTTGGTGGGGGAGCTCTGAGCCAGAAACCAGCTGCGTTTTGCTGCAGTGTCTGGCCTGGAGGCCCAGGCTGCCGCTCCCTGGCGGGGCCTCTCCACCCCCTGTCTCTGTCTCACACGCGCGCACGCTTCCTCTCCCCCCACCGCTCTGTCCTTCTATCTGGGCCTCACACTCATAGTATTTGGGTCTGTGAAGTCACTGCTTCCTTCCTGGGGCTGCCATTTATAGCTGGCGGCAATGAAAGCTCCCATTTTACACTCGCTGGGCCCCCTGCAGCACTACAGAGACACAGATCCCTTTGTTGCAAATAATTAATTTGGTTCCATATTGCATAACATCCTAAAAAGCTTTCCAGGGCAAGCTCCCGCCGGCCGGACACTGTGATCTCATCAATATTGCTCTGCAGCGGGCACTACTGTTATGCGGTTTCATTAAAAATTTAATTTGTGGTTTAAATCTGCAGTGTTCCCTTTAACAGGATGTAAAGGGAGGGACAGGCTTCGGGTTGGGGGGGGCGAGCAGACCTGGGGGAGGGGAATCCCAAGCCCCAGGAGAGGGCGGGGCCTTCCCGGGCGGGAGTAGCCACCCCTTTCCGATTGGCTGCCTGCCGGGCTGCCGCTCCTGGTGCTGGAGGGAGGGTGACTGGACCATTCACAGAAATGGTTTCTCCGAAGCCTGTACTGTTTCCCTTTCATCTCAGCCACAGGGAAAGGCAGCGCTCAGGAGCCTGTGCGCTGGAGGAGGGCCAGGGTGGCGGGGAGAGGCTTTCAGCAGAGACCCCGTGCCTCTCCCGACCAGAGCTGCAACCCCACCCCAAACACCCAGCTGTGTGGCCTCCTGCAGGTTACTTGCCCTCTCTGAGTTCTGGTCACCCCACCGCCCCATAAAGTCAATGCCATGTCTCCCTGGAGAATAGCGAGCGGCCTCCTAATTCTAAGTCGGGACAGCCTGTGCCACTGTCACCCCCCGTGTGGCCGTGGGGCAGGTGGCCCTTGGTGACAAGGTAGCAGTCCATGGGACCCCTGCTGGGAATCGCTGGTGTCTGAAAGGCCACTGTTATTCCTACTTCTTCAACTGGACCTCACTCCCTCCCAGAGAGCGCTTAGGTGATGCCACCAGCCTGGCAGCCTACAGGCCCCACCTCGAGATTTTGTTTCCAAGGAGGGGCCTTCACTGGGGTGGGGGTTTGTTTTACGCTTTGCAGGGAGGGAGGAGGAGGCACGTGAGAGCTCTGGCTCTGGCGGGGGGTGGGAGAGAAACAAGGGGGGTGGGGGAGCACAGATGGGCACTTGGGCAAGTTCATAACAGCGCCCTGCCTGCGGGGGCTCTGCCTGGGGGCGCGTCAGCCCTGCAGGCTCCGGCAAGGCCACTGGCTCTCTCGTCTCGGAAGGCCGGGATTCATGTACCCGGGTCTGCCTTCTGACATTGTTCCAGAGTGATTAAGTTAAGTCTCCTGGGGCCAGCTGGAGAGAAAGGACAAATTGCTTTGCAAAATTGATTTGCTGCCGTAGCATTTGCAGCCCGGGGCGCCCACAGCGGCAGGTGCATTGGTGCCCTCCCCCCCACCAAGAGGGCTCAGTGGCCATGTGCACACAGGCCACATGCCACGTGTCCGGGACAGGATTTGGGCACCGCTCGTGTCAGTGCGCACATCTGTGTCCACTCGTGGTGGGCTCACGGCAAACCCTCAGTGTCTCTAATGCCCATGTGGGGCAGACGGCCACCCACAGCCCCAGCCTGCAGGGAGACTTGTCCCAAAGACCCCTGGAGGGTCTATTTCCCTGGAATATCAGGGGTACCACAGGGGCGAGAGCCGGGGTCTGAACATCTGAGACTTGGAAGTTCCCTAAGAAGAGGGGCAGAGCCGATGCCAGACCAGGGTCTCCGGACCCCAGCGGGGCCTTTTCACCCCCGGGCTGCCTTCCTGCGTTCCTGGGGAAATTGGGCAAGGCAAATATCGCAGTTTTCAAGCAATCTGTGAACTCAGATGATGGTAAGATGAGGCCCACAGGCCACACAGCTGGGCAGCTGGGGACCATCCCGGGAAGGAGGGTGTGCTAGGGCCAGGGGGTCCACCAGACAGGAGAGCCTGGCTGGTATTGCCACCCAGATGGAACAGGACAGACAGTTCCTTCCTGGCAGGCCCACGGTGCGTTAGAAAGCACACGCTTGGCGATGGAGACAGCTTGGCCTGGCTGCTGCCCAGGAAACAGAGAGGACTCAGGTCCCGGGGTGCTGCGGGCTTCCCGGCCTGCTTCCCAGGCAGTCTGCGAGCCCTGGCTTGGAGCACCCTCTGGACACTGCTGGGCAGTGGGAAGATGGTCGGGAACCTGGCACTGAGAGGCGGCTTCAGCACCACACCTGGGCTGGAGCCAGCTCCTCTGCTCCGCTGCTCTGTGACCTCAGACAGGTGACTTCACCTCTCTGGGCTGTGTCGACGGTTAAATTAGACAAAGCCCATAAAGCTCTCAGAATGGGGCTGGTCTGCAGAAATAAATCAGTAAAACTGATTAGTAAATGCTGCTGCTGGTCGTTTTTGTCTTTCCCTCCCTCAGGATGCTCCGGTTCTTGTAATAACACGAGGGAGTGAAGGACGGGGTAAGCCGGTGGTCCCGGGCTAGGGGGCTCTGGCCTGTTGTGCAGGCCGGGCCCTTGCACCACAGCACTGCCCCACTCTAAGCGCTTAAATTTTTCAATTTAAATTAAAAAAAATTTAAATTGTAGTAAAATATACGTAACAAAATGTATCATTTTAACCACTTTTAAGTATGCAGTTCAGCGGTGTTACGCACATTCACGGTGGTAAGCCGCCGTCTGCAGAGCTCTTTAACTTTCCCAGACTGATGCTCTGTCCCCATGAAACACGAATTCCCCATCTCCCCGCCTCCAGCCCCGGGCACCTACCCTTCCGCCTTCTGTCTCCGTGGATCTCACTCTTCTGGGGACCTCGTGTAAGTGGGACCACACATGCTTGTCCTTTGGCGACGGGCTGATGTCACTGAGCAGTGTCCTCAAGGTCCATCCGTGTTGCAGCAGGTGTCAGAATGTCCTTCCTTTTCAAGGCTGAATAAGATTCCACTGTCTGGATGGACCACATTTTCTGTATCCACTCACCTGAAGCTTGAGTGGCTTCCTCCCTCTGGTGATTGTGGGCAGTGCTGACATAAAGGTGGGTGCACCAGCATCTCTTCTAGACTCTGCCTTCACTTATTTTAAATACACTCCCAGAAGTGGGGTTTCTGGATCATGTGGTCCCCACCCCCCCATTACACATGCAGGAGCTAGGGCTACACTGAGGTGTTCGCCCAGGGTCGCAGTGTCTCCACCCCACCCCCTTGCCTCTGGCTCCTCGGCGGCCCATCCTGGGCCTTCCAGAAGGCTCTCTGGAAGAGGTGAGCCATGATGGCTGCACTGAAGGAGTCATCACCATCATCCCAGGGAGGGATGTGTAGGCCAGGATGGCAAGTGGCCAGTCACCAACTGGCCTGGACTGAGTGTGACACGTCCTGGTGCTGGGAAGACAGTTGTGAGGTCCCCCGAGAGGAGATATGGATGGGGAGCAAGTTCAAAGGCAGCAGGAGGGGCACGAGGCCGCAGGCTCCGGTCCCCTCTGCGTCAGGGCCTGTCACTGGCAGCATGGGCAGGCGCCCTCTGCCCCTGGTGGCCACCTCGGCTTCTGTGGGACCTGGGGAGTGCCCATCCCCAGCGTGGGAGGCCTGGAGGCTCTCCACGGCTCGGGTGGGGGGCTCAGCAGGAGGGGCTCCTGCTGCGTGTCCTCTGTCCCAGGGCCTGCACAGCGCTCTGGGGGGTCAGCAGAGCCGCCTGGCCTTTGTGGGGATGCGGGCTCTGCCCTTCCCAGGATGGCCCTGTCCTGGAGCAGGGTTGGCCTTGAGAGGCTGGGGTCCTGCCCCAAAGCCTCTTCAGTTTCCTTATAAGAACCAAAGGGCTCCCTGCTTCCCAGGGGACCCAGACACAGAGAGGTGGCTCTGGTGGCATGTCCTCAATGAATTGTCTTGAGTAGCCCCACCCCCCCTGCAGATAGGGCCTCACTCCGTCCCTGTGGCTGGAAGCCTCTGGCAGTAGCCGAATCGGGGCTGAGCGTCACTGCAGCCCAGGGTGTCCCAGACCTTCCATGTCACAGTGACTCGTTTCGGTCCCTGAATGCCTGAGGTGCAGGGAGGCCTCCGGCTGACCTGTGCTGGACCTTGGGCGGGAAGAGAAAGGGCGCCTGTCATTTGTGGCAGCTGACATCTTGGGATGCTTGAGACTGTACCAGAACCAGGTCCCGCGTCCTGACCGGTGCGGTGGCTGAGGGGTCGGCCCAGCTGCCCGGGTCCGGCCCAGGCTGGGTTCTCTTGTCTCTGTTCTCCTGTGAGGTAACTAGTACCCGCTAACCACTTCCTTCTCAGCTTAACTTGACCCCATTTAGAGTTTTTCCCTTGCTCCCGCAGCCTGGACGGGCAGGGAGGCTGGCTCACCTCTTACCCACCAACTTATCCCTGGGATGTGGGCCAGGCAGCCGGGAGGGGTGGAACAGGCTGGGTTCCAGAAACAAAGGAGGCTCGCTGGGGAGAGGTGGTGCGGTGGTGAGGGGTGTGTGTGTCGGGCGAAGCCCGAAAGGAACCTGCCCGCCTCTGAAGGCCACGCAGCTGAACAGGAGCACAGCTTTGCCCGCACCCCACACCCCCCACGCCCCAACCAAGCCCGGGTTAGGGTCCTGCCGCACCAACTACCAGCTGTGCGTCTGTGCCCAAATTCCTGCCTCGGAACGCTGCGAAGGACGTCTGAAACAGTGATACTAGGACATGGGGTTGCGGGGAAGATGTCAGGAGGAGAAATGCAGAAAGTGCCTGGCACAGTGTCTGGACGTAGCGGGTCCTCCTTCACTCTAACCGTGCCGTCCATCCCGGCCAGCTGGGGCCGGCAGCGGCCGGGACCGTAGGTCAGGAGCCTACGGCCCGCCTGCCTGCGGGCCCCTCCTTGCGCAAGGGAGCCGGGCGCCCTCCGCAGGCCACGCTCCTGGACAGAGCGGGGCGGCTGCGGGCTCTCGCGTCTGTGGCCTCCAGGATTCCTGGGGGTTGGGATCCCTGTGCTCTGACTGCTGGTAAAGTATTTTGCTGCGGGGAAGCCTTGAGCATCTCCACCAACGGACATAAATAAAAACAGTAACTTGGCTGTAGGGAAGCTTCGCCTGGTGTGTCCAGCCCGGAGCGCCCTGGCATGCTGCGAGGCGGCCCTTGCCAGTGGGTGCAGGGGCAGGCGATCAGCCGCTCGCGCTCTGTGTTTCTGGGCCAGGTACCTCTTACTCTCTGGGCTGCAAATAGAGTGGGGGATGAGCCAGGGGCCCCCACCCCGGTGGCACGGGAGGGTGGGGAGGCAGGCCAGAGGGTGACATCTCTCCATTGCCTCCCTGCAGCTGGACGTGGAGTGTGCAGATGGGAACATGTTGGTCAGATCCTAGAGCTGGGGGTATGCGCGGGGCTTTGGAGCCGGGCCAATGTGGGTGCAAGTCCTGGTCCGTGTGCATCGCCTGCGCCCGTGCGCAGGTCCCACCAACTCAATAAATCTTGGCCCTCAGGGTGCAGAACAGAAACGGTGACGGTCTCCACTTCCAGGGGCTGGGCCATGTGTGCAGCCCTCAGCCCCGTCCTGCCCTGGCCTGCCCTGCGCAGGTGGTCCGGGGTCAGGCCCAGCTGCCTGTGGGGTGTCCCCATCTCCCGCCCCAGCACAGAGGAGGTGCCTGGCCTGCCTGCTGCAGGGAGGGGGCCTGACCTCGTCCTGGGTCAAATAGGACACTGAACGCTGGTTGGTGGGAACTTCCCCAGGAGGGGGACAGGGGCAGGTATGCGGGCTGCAGGGGGGCCTAGAGTCCAGCCAGGCTCATTGGGCCCGACAGCCTGGGGTCTGAGAGGGCTCAGAGGGTCCCTAGGCTGCTCCCCAGTTTTTGCCTGACAGCGAGGCTTCTACCCCATCTAACATGAGCCTCTGTCTTCTTTACTTTGAACATTGTGATGGCGCGTTTTCACTTATTATTTTTATACTTAATAGCACTTTTCTGAACATGGAAAAATACAGGCCCGTGAGAGATGATTCAGACTGTACAGTTAGCTACTGAGGCCCCTCCAATGCAACCTGTGGCCCCCAAACACTCTGACGTTCCCTGGATGTTTCCGGGAGCCCCCGCGCCTGGGAGCAGAGGGGACGGGGGATTCAGGGCTGGAAGTCTCCCGGGGCGGCAGAGCTGAAGAGGGCGGAGGTGGGACTCCAGCAGGGGGAGCAGGCAAAGGAGAGGCCTCACTAGGGGCCGGGGGCCGTCCCAGAGTGAGGCCAGCCTGACGTTATGTGGGTTATGTTTGGCATCTGGGGGTTCACAGGAGTGAGAGCAGAAGAGGGCAGAGGGCAGGGGGCAAAGGGAGGGAGGAGCAGGATGCAGAGCAGCCAAGGAGGCCCCGGAAGGGGCGAGCGTCTCCCCCAGCCCTCCAGGGGAGCAGCAGGACCGGTCCGTGTCCCCCTTCCCCTCCTCTCCACGCCCCCCCACCCCCCACGGCCTGGATGGGGGCCCAGGAAGCTGTGGGCTGGAGCCGCTCTGACCTGGTGACCTTTCCTGCGGCCGCGGCCGAGCTCCCTTCACGGCAGGATGGGAGCTGGGTTTGCCCGGGGCCTCTGGCCCTGACCTCCTTGTCCTGGTTGCTTCCTGTCTCCCGTCGCCACGTGTTCCCCTCAATGCTCTTTAAACCCCGGGCGCTGTGCCTTCGTCGCTCCATCTGGTCCTCCTCTCGGGCTCCACTGGGCAAGGTCAGGCTGGCGCCGGAGCTTGGAGCAGGGATTCGGGGTGCCCGGCACAGCACCACCTCTGGGAACGAGATAGTCGGGCCCTGGGGCTGCGCCCCAGACAGCTGAGCAGCAGGCCACAGCCCAAGTGTGACCCCCGCCAGGGACGTCCTCCCGATGCCGTGGCCCAGTGTGCGTGAGGAGGGACGGGTGTGTGTGTGGGAGAACCAGCTCTGCGTCTGAGAGCAGCAGCAGTAATGCAGAGGGCACGGCTCGGTGGTCACTGAGATAACGTGTGCCCGGCACAAGGTCTGGCACCCAGTGAGGGTCTCCAGCTGTCTGTCTCCCTCCCTCCCTCCTGCATCGCGTCCTCACCTGCAGAATGGAGGCGGCCTGGACGTCCTGGTGAGAGCCCCGTGCCCCCAGGTTCCCAGGATCCTTGTGTCCACTTCTGGTTGCTGACCGTCTGCCTGGTGCTGGGGCAGCAGGGACGTGAGCATTTTCTACTGACTAGAACGTCTCAGGGAAGGGGTGTGGGTTACTAGGCTCCCCATTTATGGATGGGGGCACCGAGGCCGGGAATGACTGAGGCACTGGGCCCGGGGCGCAGAGCTGGTCCTGGTGGACTCAGGATGCAAGCTTGGTGCTCGACCCCACAGCCCTGCTCTTCATCCCTGCTCTGTGGGCAGCCTCCTCCCTGCTCCGGGTGCCCCGCAGCTCTGCGAGGACCCTGGCGGTGGGGGTCAGAGGGCCAGGGGAGCTCGTCCTGCAGCGGGTGACTACACTGGCGTCACCACCAGCCCTATGGGTGGCCACACGTGTCCTGCTCTGGATTCTGACAGGTTGCAGCTTGTTTTTCGAGACTTGTCAGCATGGGGCTGCCAGGAAGGCAGGTACCTGCCTCTAACAGGGATGTCTGCCCAGCTCCCCCGCTGAGGGCTCATGTTCCACAATGCCTACACGGCTCAGGGCCCGTCCCTGTAAGACGGAGTCTTGAGAGGGTCGGCCAGGGGCGCACATAGCTTTGGATTTAAAACGGGGCCAAAGCTTTCGCTAGCTCGGTCAAACAGTTCCCTGAATGTGGACGTTTGGCTGAAGTCAGGGGGTCGACATCAGCTGCTGCTCCCCACAACCCTGCCCAGAACCCCCCAGTGCCCTCCCCCAGGCCCCCATCTCTGATTTCAGAGTCATCTCTGCGCGACCTCCCAGCTCCTGCAAGCCGCCACGCGTGACGCCTGCCCTCCGAGGCTGCATGAATAATGGAACTGAAATCATCCCTAGTTAAAAATAGATACTCTTCTTAATAAATATCTTATGGACTGTCTTCAGGATACACAGGCCCCCTGTCTGAAGAGGTGAAGCTGACCCTCCTATCAAACCCAAAGACCCGCCCAGGGCCCCCGCGGCCACGGCTCCCGAGCAGGACCCACCCCCTCTGCGGTGATGTCCGGTGGAACCAGCCCACGTGCGGGAGGGACAGAACTCCCAGCCAGGAGCAGCCTGGGAATTCCTGGGCGTGTTGGTCACCTGTGAATTTTATGGGGCAAATCAGTTATCCAGTGCCCTTTGGTTAGTGAGGCTTGGAGTTCAGAAAAGCCAAAAGCAGGTTCTCATGTTCCTGCTGTGCAGAGGACTCCCCCTCTGAGCAGCAGCTGGCACATCAGGGGACAGCCTCCCGGAGGACGAGAAAATTCTGGGTAGGGACGTGGAAGTAGTTGGAGTTTAAAGTGCTGGCCTGTTTCAGAAAACTCTGCAAATGCAGTGCAACCTTGAAGGTCTGTGTTAATTAGGACACGGCCTGGTCTAGACACAGCAAATGAACCTGAAGAATATGCAGAAACAGCTGCCCGTCTAGACCACCTCTACCTCATACGAGCCGCCCCTGCAAGACAGGGGCAGGCAGGAAACGTGGGGGTCTGCCCAGCATGCAGACCACTCAAAGTAACCCCCACTCTGCAGGCTCCAAGAGAATGGTTGGAGGGTCCTTGCTCAACAGGGCAGGAAACTGGGTGTTGAAGAAGCGGCACGTGCTGGAGCTGGGACAGAGGAAGCAAAGGGGCTCTGGGGCCTGTGCTTCAGTGCTGGGCCCTCTGCCAGTGCTGGCAGCTCCACACCCCCTCTGGTTTCCTAGGACTGAGCTCAGAGTCCCTTCCCTGTAAGGCCTACCTGCTTTGAGGAGGGGCCACTGTCTCCCTGGTGCCCAGCTTGCCTTGAGGACATTTTGGTTTAGCACCCAGCACCCTAACGGCTGGGTAGATGGATAGATGGATGGACAGATGGGTGGATGAGTAGATGGATGGGTGGATGGATGGATGGGTGGGTGGATGGATGGGTGGGTGGATGGTTAGATGGATAGACAGATGGGTGGATGGAGAGATGGGTGGGTGGCTGGATGAATAATGGATGGGTGGATGGGTGGATGGATGTGTGAATGATGGAAAAAGACACCCTGTATCAGATTCCAAAGGGTAACTGATCACAGAGTAAAAATGGGAACCCAGTCACTCTCGTTCCAGAGCTCGTCCTACAGGTGGCTACTTGCTTTCATCCTTCTCTTCGCCCGCTGCCCTCTGTCCTCTGCTTCCCAGTTTCTGCATTATTGACTGGAACGTCAGGGATTGGGGGGCAGGGAGAAGGAGCTGGGGGATGGGGGCAGACCTGCAGAGAATGGACAGTGAGGATTCAAGGACCCAACGCTGGGCTCTCCCATGTGGCCCTTGAGACCCTGAGTGGCCGGACTGGCCCTCCACGCCGGAGAGCCAGGGTGCCTTAAGGCGCTGCGATGTACCCTGATATTCCTCAAACAAAGCCAGCCCTGGGGCGTTGGGCAGTCAGAACGCAGCGCCCACTCAGGCTTGCGCTGGGCGAGGCTTTGTGGGGAGCACAAAAGAAGTTAAAAAAAAAGACATCCAATTATTTCAATAGAAAGAGGATTTTTAAAAATCTTTGCCACTGTGCCTCCACTTGTTTTGTGTTCTTTAGTTTGGAAGGTACAAGGGAAGAAAATCAGGAAATGTTTTCACTTCTCTGTGATTGAGCAAACTCTTAAAATATTAAACTGTGGCTTAATAATTGATTAAAACTAATCTCAGTGGAAGCCAATCACCCATCTGGAGGATCTCTTTAAACTTTTAGGGGCTTTTAGCTCCCCCCGGCCGCCTAAGCTTTCTCTTGTCTGATTCATTCAGGGCTCAGCAGACGCTTTGCCTCTCATGGGCTGACGATGTCAGGGCGCCTCTTGAACTGCTGGCGGGCGGGCTGACCGAGGCTGGGTTCAGAAGCAGCGAAGTCTTAGCGACACTGTGAAGAGGCGGCAGTGGGGGGGGGGGGCAGGGGGAGTCAGAGCAGCTGCACATCATGGGACTGAGCTCTCTAAGACCCAGGGGGAGGCAGAGGTGAGTTGTGCGGCCCGCAGAGCCACTTCAGTTGCCCACACTTGAGTTTTCCTGCAGAACGACAATGATGCTGGCCTCTCCGGCTTTCACGGGGACACGGGAACACTGAGCAGAGTGGTTTGGAACGTGGGCTTGGACGTCGGACTGCCGTGGTCCAGCCCTTCCCCACAGGGTTACTTCGTGTATGACCTGGGACAGTTTCTTCTCTGCAATGAGTAGCCTCTCTGTGCCTCAGTTTCCTCATCTATAAAATGGGGGTAAGTGTAGAAATGCCTGTCTGAGCCGATTAGGGAAGACATTCTCAGCAATAGCCGGGGCTGGAGGAGGGCTCCACTGGGTTTGCTATGCTGATTTTAAAGAAAGTATCTTGAATTCCGTAAGATAAATGGCCCTCTGGGAACAGCCAGTGTCCTCAAAACTGAGTCTTGAAGAGATATATGCACACCCATATTCACAGCAGCACTATTCACAACGGCCAGAAAAATGGGAGCAACTACCATGTCCAACAGTGGATAAATGGATAAACGAAACATGGTCCATCCGTACAACAGCTGCTCAGTGAGAAAAGGCAGACGCAACAGGACAGACACTCTGTGACCTGCTTACACGAGGTCCCTGAGGCAGCCGGGTTCACAAGGACACAGCAGAACGGCCGGGGCGGGGGGAGTTAGTGTTTCATGGGGAGAGAGTTTCAGTTTGGGAAGATGAAGCTCCGCTGGTGGATGGTGGTGCCTGCCGCACGGCGGTGTGAAGCTCCGCCGGGGGATGGCGGTGTGAAGCTCCACCGGGGGACGGCGGTGCTGGCTGCATGGCGGTGTGAATGGACTTAGCTGTTGAACCGTGCTCCTCAAACGGTTAGGATGGTCAGTGTTCTGTATGTGTGTCTTGCCACAATGAAAAGTCAATTGAAACAACACAAAGCACATCTGCCTCCTGTCCGGGCGTCTCACCTGGTTGGGACCAGACCTGCTTGCTGCCTGTGGGCCGTGCTCAGCTGGGCAGAGATGGGGCAGGGCCCCCATGACAGCTCAGCGGGGGATCCCCCGCCACTTGCTGGGTTGTCTGCAGCCCAGCCAAGTGACGCTTCAAGGGCCCACAGCTGGATCAGCTGACCGCATCCTTCCGTGCTGTTGGTGGGAGTGGAAAGGGTTCTGGCCTCTTTGGAAGGGGCTCCTTAGGAAGGTGTGTGGAGAACCTCAGACGTGCCCAGATCAGAGCCCCTGAGGAGTGGAGTTGGGGTTGGAACACTGCCTGGTCCTGGCTTAGCCTCGTGTTCATTCTTGGCTCTGGGAAATAGCACCACCATTCGACGGTGGAATACGGGAAGGGAGGATGGAGACAGGGCCTGGACCCGACCCCTGATAACTCCCCCTCTCGAGAGACCACAGCCAGCAGTTGTGAGAAACCCGTCTGAGACCCCGGTAGCTGCGATCTGCACTCCTGCCACCTTCCTGGAGCGTCCTGCTTAGAAAGTTCTTTCATGTGCTTGAGCCCCTTTAACCCCTACAGCCCTCCCGCCTTGTCTCCTTGTGCAGACTTGTCTACTTAAAACGGCCAAGGAAGGTGCACCTTCTCAGGGGGCGGTGGGGCAGGCCTGTGGGAGACCAGGCCTGGGGGGTCCATCGGGGCAGGACGCCCCGCACTGAGAGTCACAGCGAGAAGGGCCCCAACCACGCAGAGCTGGGAT